CCCTGTGCACAACAGAACGAGACACTGCCTGGTCCTGGGACAACCTCACAAATTGTTGCCATGCTTGAGCCCATTGATGTTGCCATTTTGCCAATCCATCTTGCCGAGGGTCTTCCTCTTTTTCTCTGACCCTCCACCTTACCAAGCATCCTTCTCCAGTGACTGATCCCTCCTGACAATATGTCCAAAATATGAGAGATGAAGTTTGGCCATCCTAGCTTCCAAGGAGCACTCTGGCTGCACTTCTTCCAACACAGATATATTTGTTCTTTAGGCAGTCCATGGTACTTTCAATATTCTCCTCCAACACCATAACTCAAAAACATCAATTCTTCTACGGTCTTTCTTATTCACTGTCCAGCTTTTGCATGCAGATGAGGTTATTGAAAATACCATGACTTGGGTCAGAGCTGTCATTATTACCCAATTATAATGATTCTTCAAATCACGTGCTTTATCTCTAAGTACTTGCGGGTATTTTTGTTTGCTGCCAGTGTTTTCATAGTTGCCGATTTTGTCAAATTTTCTGGTGTTTAGCTACAATATTGTGGTGATTAATATTTGTGATAATAATCAAAAGTCAATAATTTTTTTGAGAATGATGTAGGAGTTCAAGGAAAAGAAAGAGAGAGAGAAAAAAAAAACAAAAAAAAACTTTACAAGGCTCCTGCTCAGTTACTAATAATGTAGCTAATAATGTAATCCATGTAGAAAGATTTTATAAAAGAACTTTGTTGTTGGTATTCGTATCACCTAAGGAATTTACAACGATACCACATATTACTCTATGATTTCCATGATTAAAATAGATAGATGGTTAGTAGTACTAAGGACTCTACATGCTCAGGGAAGAGTTCTGTGTGTGTTGGGGGTGTGGGGGGTGGGTGGATAGGACTCCACGAAGTCACACTGGGTGACACTCACTACCGGATGACCCTGCCAGCACTTCCTGGGTGTCTCAGGATGGAAGTTTGTGTCCGTGAGAGCGGGGCTAGCTAGCACTTTCCTTCCAGCTTTCCCTTGGGTTACCAGTAAGTACCTCCTGGTTGTGGGGACCCTCGCACTGATATGAAAGAAGACAGTGGTTTTTGGGTCTCTTGCTTTCTTGTCTGTTAGAGTCATCATTCTTACCCAAATTTGAGGCTGCAATTGGGGCCTGATTCAGTGATGGAAACCCCAAGCTTCAAGGCTGGTCTGGTGCAAAAGCGGCATGATCGCGGACAGGAAGAGGAAAGGCTGCGTGGGTGTGAAGGAAGGATTTCCTCCCTCTCTGACATTTTCTATGCCCAGGAGTTGTTGGGGTTTTATGGAGATATCTATGGAGACAGTGGGCTTTCTCAGTCACTGCCTGCCTTCTCCATAGCCCACAAATTGCGAGTCAGGGACTTTTCAACCTGAAGCAGCCGTGGGAACACAATCTAACAAACCCACCCTCAGCAGCCTTTTGTCCCTCCTGGAAACAAGTTTCTCCGGTTCATCCAAAAGCTGTCTTTTTTCATAGGTGGAGCTGGGAGCTGAGGTAGCCCATAAACGCTACAGGGAGCCCACTCATTGATCATTTGGTTTCCCATTATCATCATTTGATTTGTAGAGCTCTGCTTCCTAAAGTTTCAGACTGTGACCTTTCCTATGACGTGTCCCTAGATATGTTCAAACCACCAATCTTCTGGTTAGTAGTTAAGTGCTTAAGCATTTGTGCCAACCAGGAGTCAAAACTCGAAAGTCACATCTCCAGTCACCTGGGAGGGGATCTGGAGTCCAGAGCCACGATCCTCTTCCCTGGGCAACCCTGGTTTCAGTTCCCTGCCTCCGAATTGACTGCTTTGATATCAAAAGTGGAGGAAGTCATGCTTCTCCCTAAGCTTGAGTTCAAACTAATAATAGCACAGCTTAGAAAGGAAGGCAAGTCTCAAGCCCTGACTGACAGCAGCTAATTTAAATTACATCTTGATGGCAGAGAATGAAATTCACATGCCGTAGTAAAGGGGCCAAAGAGCGTTGGGATTGAATTAAGCATTGGGCTACTAACCGCAAGGTTGGTAGTTCAAATCTACCAGCCACTGTGTAATAGAAAAGTGAGGCTTTCTACTCCTGTAAAGATTTACAGCCACAGAAGCCCTATGCAGAGTTCCTGTGTTGGAATTGATTCGGTGGCCGTTAAGTTTGGTTTGGAGTTTGGTAGCATAAACGGCTACATCTGGGGGGAGATGTAGAAGATACAATTGACAAGACTTAGTGGATTATCCCAGAGGAACAGAATAGGCTTTTGACTCAATGTATGGTAGAGGCCTTTCTTAAATAACTAAGAACAGAATGAGATCCTGAACATGGTTTCGAACATGTTGAACCGATTGAACTTGTGAGAGGCTGTCTCAGAGGCCTGAGGAACAGTTGGACAGACAGGTCTGCCTCAGAAGAAAGTTGGGTTCTGGATACAGAGGTAGGAGTTATCAGCATAGGGACAGATGTGACCAAGTGTCAAAGAAGAGGCGCCCATTTACGCTAAGAAGTAGCAGGAAGAGAGGAGGAAACACAGAGGCCAAGGTCAGATACTGGAGGGGAAGGAAGACCAAGTCTGAGATATGCCCATTTGATTTAGCAACCAGAGCTGACATGTACCCTCCAAGTAGGATGCTTCAGCAAGGCTATGGGAATAAAAGCTCCATCTTCTTGTGACAGATGGCTAAATTTCATTTCCTGGACATATGGCTTAACTTTATTTCCTGGATTTATGGCTAACTGGGCATATGGATAAACTTCATATGGATAAACTTCATCTCCTGATGATCTGCCTTGAAATTGGCTGTGGCCACATGATTGAGTTCTAGCCAGTGAAATATAGGCAGAAAAGAAGGCAAAGCCATTTGAGAGTCCCTGAGTGATGCCAACAGTTAAGACACTGATGTTAACCTAAAAGCTGGAGGTTTCAATCTACCCAGAAGCACCTTGGAAGAAAGGCTTGGCAACCAACTTGTGAAAAATCAATCATGGGAAACCCAATAATGGAACACATTCTCACAACACACGTGGGGCTGTCTTGAGTCAGAGTTGATCTGATAGCAACTGATTCTAGACCCAGTCAATTCCCCATCCTCCATGGAGTCTCTCCTCCCTAGTCTCCCAGTTAGAACAGAGGGTCAGTGAGGAGCTCCAAGGCCTTGGGATACAGAGCCGCCAGACGGAAGGAACTGGGTCCCTAAGCATGGAGCCAGGGGACTGTATGAGGTCAGGGCTTAGGAAAATCAGGCCAGTGGGGTCAGAGGGCATGGATATGCTGGGTCTGCAGTGGAGTGGGGGAAGCAGCCAGCAGAATAAAAGAGACTCTATAAGGGCCTGGGCAGGGTGGCAGAGAGATTTCAAAAATCAGGTGAGCTACAGGGGTCAGCAACCAGAACGTGGAAGCACTGCAGAGTCAGGTGGCCACTTGGCCAAAGTGTTAAGCATTCCTACAGGGCTATGAGTCCTGGTGTGGAACTGCAGGATAAGCACTGGACTGTGTCAGTGTGAACTGCAAGGTCGGTGATTCAAACCCAACAGCCGCTCCTTGAAAACCCTAGACAGGATCGCTATGAGTTGGAACTTACTCGACGGCACTTAACAACAGCAATAACACAGAGTCAAGAAGTCTACTGGGTTGACAGGCAGCTGCAGTGAAGTGTCTGCACGTACGAGGCACACAAGTTCTCATGTTCACACTCACAACCACATAGTCCCCTGGATACTGGCTCCAAGTCCAATCTTCACAGACTCAGTCCTGGCCGGCCTTCTGAGGTTCTGGCAAGACTTGCGACTGCTGGACCCTGCCTCAACTCACCTCCTTACTGCCCGGCTTCAGCCTGACCCTATTAACTCAACAATGGAGAGCTGGGGTTTCATCTCAGGTCTGCTACTCACCTTGAGCAAGTCCCTTCCTCTTTAGGAACCTCAGTTGCCTCTTCTGCAAAGCAAAGGGTTTGGATGGTATGGTTGTAACTTTCCTTGCATGAAAAGATTCTATCATTCCCCTAAACTCACTACACTCAGAAAGCTTGGGCCTGGAATTGCCAGCAGACATCAGCCTTCCTGTACCTGTAAGGGGATTCTGCAGTCTTCAAATCTTGCAAGTTAGAGGATACCAGGCAGGCCTCCAATCAAAGCGGGGTATCCTCTCATGAAAGGGAAGCTTATAGAGAGTAGTTGTTAGTAATCATTCTATGAAGTCAACAAATCCATCACCTCTGGGCAGAGCTGTGATCTATTTCTTCCCTTTTCTTTTTTCCCCCTTTTTAAATCATCTACATTTGCAACAAAGAACTTTCCTTTCTGTTCTCATTTCTTGTTCCCTTTATGATGGGATGGCTCCACCCTCCACAACCCCCCTCTTCTTCCAGGGAAGAGGAAAATTAGAGGGGCATGGGGGAGTGCTTTCCCAATTTGGTTTCCTCTCTGGGGTCACCTCTAATTGACTTGGTTCTTTTTTTCCTGAAAGAATAGAACTAGGACACAGGGGTGGTAGGAAAATCCTGTTAGCCTTTGTTCTATTGCCCCCAAGAATGCCTCTCCAACCCACCATGACCATCCACTAAGAGTGTGACTGTCAGACAGAACAAGAGTGGAGAGCAAGACCCAGGAGGCACAAAAAAAATTTGAGGAGAAGACCTCTTCAGGAAGAGAAAATGAGTGTGTGGCTAAATTCCAAGAACTTGGAGGAAGAAGAGGCTATAAACAACCATCTTTATTATTCAAATTCTGAAGGAAGTGATTCTGCAGAACCATAGTACCTACTAGCTGCCAAAGTGGGTGAGAAGTGATTCCTGAGGGGGTCGTCCTTGTCTGCATCTGTACCAGAGTCAGGTGCCTGGGGGGCTTCATGTAGAGCCCCATCTGTGGAGACAGGGCTCCTGAGCTTCTGGGAGGAGGCCGGGCAACAAGTCCTCCTGTGCACAGACATGGAGGGAGAGTTCTCCTTCCTGGTGCAAGACCAAGGCTCCTCACTCCCCAGAGGAGGAGATCCTGGAGCTTCACCGGGGCAGGCAGCCAGCTATAGGGTCGGGTCGAGGCATTGTCACAAAGTTCATGGGGCAGAGCAGCAGAGGGCACATCTTCTCATGCTCCTTCAAGGCCTCGCTCAGGTGCTTCAACTCCTCTGTCAGCTTCCCGATTTCTCTTCGCAACACTGTGTTCTCTTGCTCCAGGCACTCATACTCCTGGGGGAGGCAGAAGAAAAGTAAAACCATTTCTAAAACCAGACCCTCTTCTTCTGCAGCCATCGCAGAGATGTTACCATTATCAACCCCTCTCTTTTACCCCTTATATTTATTTGCCTGATATTATTGCTCTATTCTCACTAGAATGCAAGGTTCATGAGGCTTTGCTTTTTTTTATGTCCACTTTACTAGGTGTAAACCAAAAACACCATGCAAACACAGCTATTAGTAACTTGATTCTGACTCATGATGGCCCCAGGTGGTCAGAGGGGAATTGCACTTCATAGGGTTTTCATGACTGTGAGCAGATCACCAGGCTTTTCTTCCACAGTACCTCTGGGTAGATTTGACCCACCAACTTATCTGTTGGTTGTTGTTAAGTGCCATCGAGTCAGTTCCAACCAATAATGACCCTATACAGGGTAGCACAGTGGTTACAAATCGGGCTGTGAACCTTAAGGTCAGCAGTTCGAAACTACCAGTTGTTCCGCGGGAGAAAGATGAGGCTTTCCGTTCCCAAAAAGATTTACAGCCTCGGAAACCCTGTACAGGGTCACTATGAGTCAGAACCGACTCCATGGCACACCACCACCATAGGATTTTCCAAGAATGACTGGTTAGCTTGAACCACCAACCTTGCAATTCAAACTGACTTTGACTTTGCACTCCAGCGCATCAACCCATAGCATCACACCAGGACTCCTATCTATTGGGAGCCAAGCACTTCATCATTTGTACTATCCAGGAATTCCTTCATCAAAGCAAACCCAAACCTACTGAGTCAATTCCGATTCAGCAACCATGTAGGACAGAGTAGAACTGATTGGCCCATATGGTTTCCAAGACTGTAATCTTTACAGGAACAGACTGCCTCATCTTTCTCCCAAGGAGCAGGTGATGGGTTCAAATGCTAACTTTTTGGTTAGTAGCTGAGTACTTAATCACTTAACCACTAGGGCTCCTTCAGGACCTCTGACTGAGAAATAATTTATATCAAATAAAATGCATCCATTTAAAATGCATAATTCAACGAATCTTGCTAAATGTGTACATCCATGTTATCAGGATGTAGAACATTTTCTTCACCCCAAAAAGTTTCTTCATGTCCTTTGCAATCAGTCCTCCATCTAACTCCCAACTGCTGATCTATAACATAATAAAAGTTTGTTGATTACATGCATAAACGAAAAATAAACACTAGGCAACTTTGGCTTTGCCTTTCCTCCAGCACTCGCATGTTGCATTTCCACAGAAGCTTAGAACTGAAGGGGATCATAGAGACCCCTTAGCCCAACCTGCCCAATATAAAAACCTTCCATGTGCTAACTCTAGTCCTTGCCATTTCTGAACTGCTCTATTAAAAAGCTCCTCTTCATAGTTGCTGTCAGGTGCCCTCAAATTCAGACTCGTACGACTCTGCATTAAGAGAACAAAATGTTGCTTGGTGTTACGTCATCTTCCATATAATAGTAGGCATGTTTGAGCCCAGTGTTGCAGTCACTGTGTCAATATGTCTTGTTTATGTTCTTCCTTTTTCATTGACCCTCTTTATAATGACCCATAGTCTCTCTCTTCTTCAAAACCACTTGCTGGGTTTGGTTGCACCTTGTGGAACTACATAGAGTAAATGCACTGTTTTTTCAATATCACAGTTCTTAAGATGTTAGCTATTCTCTTTAGCTTCCCTTTAGCTATTCTCTTTCTTGAGCTCAGCTATCGTAGGTTCTCTAAGTTCCTTGGGTGACAGGACTTCCAGCCCCTCTGCCTTCCTGAATACCATCCCTGAAACATACTCCAGTTTGGCAAAATCTCTGAGACAACGCTGCTTCCAAAGCGCATGATCCTGGCGTGGCCTGATCATAGGTGGACAGATCGTGGTGACGTCACCCCCTCCCTTGTGCTGACTCAAGCCCTCAGCCAATGCTTGCCGGTGATTCTCCCTGCGCTTGCAGTGAAGAGCAAGTTTCTCCTACATCTGCTGCTTTTGAGTCTCACTTGGATGATTGGATGTGGTGGAGCTTAAGAGTGAGACTTTACACTATCTTCACTGAACATCACTTTGTTAAAATCCCACTCACAGCCATTAAGTTCATTCCAATTCACAGTGACCCAACAGCACAAAGAACAACTGCTCCTTAGCGTTTCCAAGACTTCAGATCTTTAAGGGAGTGGACAGCCTCATCTTTCTCCTGCAGAGTGACTGAACGGTTTGAACCTCGGACCATTGCCTAACCCACTGCACCACCAGGGTTCCTTCTCACTTTGTCAGTGGAACACATTCCATTCTAGCAAAATCTTTTTGAATCTTTGCTGTAACATCTCACGGATTAGTGATACCACCCAGCTTTCTGTTGTCTATTACACTGATAAGCAGATCTTTCTCTGTGTCATCCAAGGTATATTCTGCAATACAGGATCAACTATAGAGCACTATGACATTCAATAGACAACCTCTCTAGGTTGACAATCTTGTTTAAATTTTGCTAAAATGCTGTTTCAATTCAGTTCTAGGTGTTTTTTTTTCCTTTTTCTTTTTTTCATATCATTATGCTTTGCTGCTCCATGTACACTATGCATTTCCTGGGTTAGGGACCCAAATTTACTATCTATCACACCCTCTCTCTTCCTAGAGAAAGAGCACTAAATAGCATTAAAGAATATTTTACAAGTCTGAGAGCTTTATAGCTGTGATGAAGACACCTGCAAATTCTCAGCTTTGCTAATGCTGTTTACCTCAACTGGCCTCCCTTCTCTTGTCCTGTGTAGATACAGACTAAGCTCACCACCTCCAAGAAGGCTTCCTGGATCACAGAACCTATCTGAACCACATGTTTTATTGTGCATTCTAGTTCGTCTTGCATCATATTCAATCTCATTGAAGTTAAATGATGTCTCTCCCCAAATATTAGGACTGTATTGCACCTAAGAGCCTCCACTCCACTCCCTGTACTTCCTGCCTGATGGGCACAGTTCCAGCGGCTACATGTGCAGTGACCCTGCAGCCCTCGTCTTGGGTCTCCGTCTCTTACCCTGTGTCTTCTCTTCCACCCTCTCTAGGCATCTTCTTCCCTTTCAGAACTCTGGGGCCCACAGGGGCTGCATTCAGAACCATTGTTCTGTCTCTCGTCCATCCTGGGCAGCCTCCCAGCATGAGCTGGAACCTGCTCAAAGGCAACAGTTCTCCCAGCTTCTCCCCATGGCTGTACTCAGTCAGACCGTGGCCATCTCCACTGGTGCATTGGCCCCATTCTGCCTTCAGGCCTCCTCTATGCCCATCACCCCAACCCCTTATGCTCTACTCTAGCCTCTCCACAACAAGCTCTGGTCTTGAAGTTGGAATCCAACCTAGAAACCCACAACAAAGCCTTCCGTGGGCAAAGGGGGTGTGGGTCAAGATTGGGAGATGAGGATGGTGGCTAAGGCATCATGGGAAGCCTGAGCACAACAGAAGGTGAAAGTGATTGCAGCTACATGCACACACAGACTCATGCACACACATGTACACAGCCACAGACATGCAGCTGCATGCACATGAAGACCCATGCAGACACACACATGCACACACATGCAGACATGCAGCTTCATGTACACACAGACCCATGCACACACACACATGCACACACTCACATGCACACACCTGCTGCACACACAGACCCATGCAGACACACACATACACACACCCATGTGCACATACCCACAGACATGCAGCTGCATGCAAACACAGACCCACGCAGGCACACACATGCACACAAATTACGTACATGCACACATGCACATGTACACACCTATGTTCCACCCTGCAACTGAAAATTCTCTTCACCTAGAAGTGAAATGGAAAGTAGATTTGAATGGTTCCAATGAGCTAATGTTTTAATTAGATTCCAAAGGACAGAAAGCAAGATGTCCTGGGTAGTGCAAATGGTTAGACACTTGACTATTAGTTGAAAGGTTGCTGGTTCGAAACCATCAAGAGAAGTTTTGGAAATAGGCCTAGTGATCTGTTTTCAAAAGGTCACAGCCTTGAAAATCTATGGAGCACAGTTCTACTCTGCACACATGAGGTCCCCAAGAGTTGGAATCAGCTCAGCACCAATCAGCAACAAGAAGTAAAGGTATCTTTCAGAGAAAAGGAAGAAAACCTGGAAAAGTCGTGAGTTTCTAAAAGTAAACGTCTACAGGACCATGAAACCCAAAGCACAGTAAAGCTCTCTTCTTTTAGCAGAATATTCCAAACTGCCTTTCTATATTTACTGAATTCTGTTGTGAGACACTTTGAATGCCTGAGCCTTATCTCTGGAAGTCATGAGGAGTCCCGTGCCTGGTGTCCTCCTGTGGTCTTATCGCTTCCCCCAAGTCCCAGTTCAAAGGGCATAAGAGCTGTCTGTTCCGGGGCCTCATAGAAGGCCCCACACTGACCTTCTCTTCTGGGATTTAATTTTCCCTCATAAATCTGTTGATAGCCTTTTATCAAGATGAGAAATAAGAAGGAGACAAAGGCAAAACCTCACTTCTACAAAAATACAAAGATAATATGGGAAGGGAGAAAGAAAAGGCCAAGTGGGAACAGATAGGAAAGAGTAAAAGCATACTGAAAAGAAATTACTTGGATTTAACACAAGTGGGGAGTCCTGGTGTAGGATAAGCACTAGACCATAAGGTATGTTTGAACCACAAGGTTGGTGGTTCAAACTCATCAGTGGCTCCTTGGAAACCCTATAAAGGGTTGCTATGAGTTGGGACCCACTCAAATAACAAAAACAACACAAATGGAAAATAAGACAAGCACATTAGACCCTTTGTTATATCCGAACAGATCGTCAGTTCAGCTCAAATCTTGCTGAGTTTTGAAGCATTTGACAAGGGGAGTTTGAGGTTACTGCATTGCCAGGAAGCAAGCTGCAAGCAGAGATCTAAAAAGTAAAGGAGGAGAAGTCACTGCAAATCCCAGCTGCTGTCTAGAACTGTGGTTCTCAACCAGGCGACTTTTGCCCCTCCCCCTG